AGGGCTCCCATTAACACGGAGAGGTCAAAATTTAAAACAATTCAATAAATGGAGGTACATTGCATGATAATGCATCACAGGAATGAGTATATCATTACATAACTGTCAAGTCCTATCCTTACATAACTCCCATATCACTGAGAAGCACGCCTAGCCAAGTTGACAAATGGTTGGTGGGGGGCATATAATTCAATTTATGAAAATATCTATTCCATCCTGAGTGGTCTGTCATTTCTTCCTGTGTACAGTGGCTGCTTTCAGATTTCCCCTGCCCACCACTGTCACCTGACACATATAATGAGAAGGGTGCCCAGTTCACCAGATGTGCTTGGGTGTGGGAGAGGACCAGTGTGGTACCCACAGTTAAGTGAGAGCTCCTTCCTTAAAGGGTTCCAGACTCAAGCTTGAGCACAGCATCTGAGCTTTGTAAGGATGGTGGTACTGGATTTCTTCATCTGCTGGCTTTAGAAAGGGTGATCATCAGGGCAAGGTAAAAACCAACACCAACAACAGAAATAACTAAGGTGAGTTAAGGGTGTGTCAAGAAATCTGGATAAATAAAAGAAACCAAGACTTCAAAATAGCAGTTATCTTAGAAAGTGATCAATAGGCTTTTCTATTCCTGGAGTCCCAGTGTACCTCTGCCCTATCTCATGAGCTCTAATTTGGATTTTACTTTCTTTTTTATTAAATCATTTTATTGGGGGCTCATGAGATTTGACTTTCTACAGATTAGCTTTTCCAATAGCTGACACATCTTTTCAGACTGAATTCCTTGAGACTTTGATTCTATAAGCTCTACATCTAAACATGTGGTGCCAACTCGTTTCATGATAAAGAAGACTGACATTGGCAAGGCTTGCAGTTTACTTGGATCTACAATCAATGCTATGGGGGCAGCAGTCAGTAGGCAAAGCTTCTGAAGAGGCGCTCTCTAAATTGTTACCAAGCAAAGATGTCAGTTTGAGGACTAGTGTGCCCAACCCAAGTCTTGCTACTTTCAAATGCCTCTTAGGCAAATGAAAGTTGAACAATGAATAAGGAAGACCACAGAGCACTGATGCATTTGAATAATGATGTTGGCGAAGATTACTGAAGACTGCTACGAGAAGAGACATCTATCTTGGAAAAAGTACAAGCAGGATGCTCCAGACTTTGTCTCATGTACTTTAGACGTGTCATCAAGAGAGACTGGTCACTGGAAAGGACATCATGCTTGCTGAAGTAGAGGGTGAGCAAAGAAAGAGGAAAACCCTCAACGAGATGGTTTGACACGGAGGCTGCAACCACGGGCTCACACATAACAACAATAGTGCGCACAGCATGCAGGACTTGTCGATGTTACCTTCTCTTGTACATAGGGTTGACATGAGTCAGAGTCAACTGGACCACACCTAGCAACGGTAACAACTTGAGATAGTTTATTGTGCCAGCCTGGCTGATAAACACAAGTGGGATTAACTGAAGGGCAGAGAGATAAATGCCTTGGTGAGTCTCGCCTTTCTTGTCTCTCGCTCTTTGATCATTGGATCAGTGTGCGGCTGCCTTGCTTGTTCTGTGCCTCAATTTATAGGCTACATTACCTGTGGGATGCCTAGCCTGTGGACTGTGTCGCTGTAAGTTGAGGTCCCTTTAAGACATCTCTGGAGCTGGGGACTGACAGTTGGGACTGGTGGTTAGTTGACAGTTGGTGATCTGCCTTGTGATTGGCGGCTGTGCTGAGATAGCTTCGCTCTCTCTATAAATAGAGGGAGAACTGGCAGCAGACGGGACTTGAAGGACTGCTAGTCTCACACAACTCTCTCTCATGGGAGTGAATTGCACTGAGCCATTTGTAGTGCTTTATAATTTAACTGTTCATTTCTTGTA